TCTTATAGTATTAGTTCTGCCAATCCCTGAACACAGATGGGAGATCTTTCTATCTTCTAGTGTTTAATTTCTTTTTTTAGTGTTTTAAAGTTTTCATTGTAGAAGTATTTCACCTTTTGGGTAGGTTTATTCCTGTGTATTTTATTTGTTTTTTCAGGCTCTATGAATGGCATTATTTTCCTCATTTCCCTATCACCATACGCATTGCTAGTATATAGAAAAGCTCTTCATTTTTGTATGTTGATTTTCTATCTTGCTACTATACTTAAAGGGTTTATCAGATCTAAGAGTTTTCTGTTGGAGTCTTTAGGGCCTATTTAATATAGGATTAGATCATCTGCAAATTGAGACAATTTGACTTACTCCTTTTCTAATTGTTTCCTTTATATTTCTTTGTCTTGCCCCATTGCTACAGCTTAAGATTTTTTTTCTTTTCTTTTTCTTTTATTATTCATATGTGCATACAAGGCTTGGTTCATTTCTCCCCCCTGCCCCCACCCCCTCCCTTACCACCCACTCCGCCCCCTCCCTCTCCCCCCCACCCCCTCAATACCCAGCAGAAACTATTTTAAAGCAGTACATTGAGAAAGTATGGAGAGAGTGAACACACTTGCCTTGTTACTGATTTTAGAGGAAATGCCTTACTATAATGTTGACTATAGATTTTTTATATAGAGTCTTTATTGTTTTGAATAAACAAATAGAAGGATTGTATGATCCTTCTATTTCTACTTTCTTCAGAGATTTTGTCATGAAGGATGTTGAATTTTGTCAAAGGCTTTTTTCTACATCTATTGACATGATTGTGTGGCTTTGTCCCTGATTTTATTTATGTGCCATATTATACTTACTGCTTTGAATAGGTTGAAATATACTTACATTCCTGGAATGAAACCAATTTGTTAAATGTGTTACTGAATTCAATCTCCAAGTATTGAGAATGTTTGTATCTATATTCATCAGTGAAATTGGTCTATAGTTTTCTTTTCTTTTGGGATCCTTATCCAGTTTTGGTACCAGGGTAACACTGGCCACATTTGGTTCCTTCCCTATTTTTTGAAATTGTTTGAGGAGAAATGGTATTCTGTATTCCTTAAAGGTCTACTAGAATCCAGTGCTGAGTCCATTCAGTCCTGTGTTTTTCTTTTTTGAGAGACCCTTTATTATTGCTTCAACCTCTTTGTTTGTTACAGGTCTATTTAAGTTATTAATATCCTCTTGGTTCAGTTTTGGTAGGTCCTTGTATCTAGAAATTTATTTATTTCTTTCATATTTTCCAATTTGTTGGAATATAACTATCCAGAATATTCCACAATGATCCTCTGGATTTCATTGGAATCTTATAATATGGATATTCTTATAATTTGAGTATTCTCTTTCTTTTTGTTAATTTTTCTAAAGGGTTATCAATCTTGTTTCTCTTTTCAGAGAACCAACTCTGTTTCATTTACTCTTTGTTGCCTTCTTTTACTTTCCATTTCATTAATTTCAGTTTTGACCTTTATTGTTTGTTTCTGTCTATTAATTTTGGGTTTGGCTTGTTATTTTTCTAAGACCATTGGGTACGTCATTATATAATTCATTTGGGATGTTTCATTTTTTAATGTAGTTTATAGCCATAGCTATAAACATTCCTCTAAGGGCTCCATTTGATGTGTTCCAAAGATTGTGATAAGTTGTGCATGATGCTAGGAATTTTTTATTTCCCCCCTGATTTCTTCATTACATTGATCCTGTAAGCTTGTATTGTTCAGTCTCCATGTTTTTGTGTAGTTTCTGTAGTTTATATTGCTACTTGTTCGTAATTTAAATCCATTATCTGATAAGATACAGGAAATTTTGTCAATTTTGTTGTATTGGTTAGGATTTCCTTTAGGGAATAATTTACTCTGGAGAAAGTTCCATGGGCTGCTGAGAAGAATATGTATTCTGCATTTCTTGGATGGAATATTCCATAGATACCTGTCAAGTCCATTTGATGTGTAGTGTTGTTTAACTCTGAAAGGTGGTTGATTTTTTTGATCTTGATGATCATGATAATAGTTGGGTATTAAAGTCACTCACTATTATCATATCTGGATCGTTCTTTTTATGTAATTGGGTGCACTGATATTTGGTGCTTATATATTTACAATCATTGTATCTTATTGATGTATTGTCCCCTTTATTAATTTGCAGTGACTGTCTTTATTTCTTTTGATTAATTTTGTCTTGAAATTTACATTGTCGGGTATGCATATAGCTACTCCTGTTTACTTTTGTCCTCCATTTGCTTGGTATATCATTTTTCTTTCCTTTCACTTCCAATCTGTGTGTGTGTGTGTGTGTGCCTTTGTCATTGAGGTGTGTGTCTTGCAAACAACAGACAAGTGGATCTTGTTTTCTAATCCAGCCAATCAGTGCATCTTTTAATTGGAGAGTTAAGACTATTTATATTTAAAGTTATTATTGAGAGGTAATTACCGGTTCTTACTTCATTTTCCTGGTTGATTCAAATATTGTTTGTTCTTTTTTTCTCATTATTCACTTGAGGAATTTGATGTTTTACTGAGTCAAATATCTTTAAAGCTTTCCTAACTCTCATTTGTTCATCTGTTCCTTATGTGAAATTTATTTATTCCTGAGCCCTTCTGTTCATGATTGTCTTTCTTACTTATCTCTGTATAGGTTTCCTTTATATATCTTGTTCAGTGTCAGCAGAATGGTTTATGAATTGCTGTACTTTGCTTAAATATATTATATGTCCAAAGCCCATTCTTATTCTGCTATGCTACCCTGCCTCTCAAAAGAAGAGATAAAAGAGTAGTAGTCATTAGGAAAATGACAAAAGTGATGATTTTCTGAAATTTTCACAGTAAATGCTTAATCTTACAAACTATAAAGTTTTTTTTAAATATGTCATACTAATATCTAAAATTTTTGCATAATCATGTCATTTTTCACTGATTCTTATGCATGGTGCTTTATTTCTTTGTGCTTTTGATTGTCTTTTATTTTATACTATTCATTGTTCTTTAAAGTGCTTTTTGCAAATGATATAAGGCTTAGGAAGAAGATGCCTCCGTCCAGAGAAAATTTGGTTTTTTGTCTGATAACTGTTGAGAACACCATTACTGGATCACCTTAACTATAGGACTATGTAGGCATTGTGAAATGGAGTGCCAGTTTACTTTGGCCAATTGTAGTTGGGGGAAATTGACTTTGTTGCTCACTTGTAACTGGCTTCATATTCCCCCTTCACTTTGGCCAATAATTTCTTATTTTTAGTTCCTTGACTTTACAAAATTTCTTGCTCACCGTGTTGTATTCAATAATTTTGGTTGTTTTCCAAGGGAATGTTGGTTTACTATAATAGCTTACCAATAGTAAGCCTTTAGAAAGTATTCCACTATAATTAGAAACAAGAATCTTATTTTGTTTGTAATTTCATGAAGAATGCTTTGCTTATAATTTTGCAGCTTCATGGCATAACCTTCTTGTCATGAGTCATTTTTTCATGTTCTTTTATACCATTTTTTCTTCACAAATACAAATTTCTTTCATGGGCCACAATTGTCACTCTTCAGTGATGGCATTACAAACTGGGCTAGTAGGCAACTCGAATGCTTGATCAGTTTTCTTCTGACACTTTTCCTACCGAATTCTTCTCTTGATTTTCAGTCCCTGCTTAGTGAGCCACAGCTTTCTGAAAGCCCCACGATTATACGTTTTTATTCTTCTATTTTATCTGTTGTTGCTGTTCTAATTTTTAGAGTGGATAGAGGACATAGACATCTTTATTTTGCTTAATGAAAGTCGTATCTTGTTCTTAATATAGAAATTTTTTAGACATTGCATAGATATCACAAGATCTAAGTGTTAAAATTTAGTTCTCTGGAAGTTTCTAACCTTTCATTTCCTAATTTCCAAAAACTTTTATTTTAGTACCATTATTATTTCTCTCCCTTTGTTAAACAGGTTGAAAAAGGTTGCCGATTGATTTAGAAATTAGTGGTGTTTTTCTAATTGTTCCCCATTTCTTTATATTTGAAGCTTTGAATTAGTTGGCCTTGAATATTTTCTTTCCAGTTAATTATTTCTGGGTAAACTGGTGTTTCTAATATTTATTTTGTAATTTATAGGTGCAGAAAGAAGTAGGTACTATAGGGAGAAACCGTAATTATTTCATTTCTTTTAAATCTTCTGTTAAAACATATTTTCCACCAACACAAAAACTAGTACATGAGTGTTTATACAAATTTTATTCTTAATTGCCAACAATTGAAAGCAAACAAGATGTCCTTCAGTGGGAAAATGGATAAGAATCCATAGAATGGCTATTATACAGCAGTAAAAAGAAATGAACTATTGAACCACAAAAAGATGTAAAGGAACCTACAATGAAAATTGCTAGGTGAAACAAGTCAGTTGGAAAAAGATACATTCTATATGATTCTAACTATATGACATTATATAGTCATATATATATGACATAGGCAAACTTGTAGATAGTAAAATAGCAGTTATTTCCAGGGTCAAAACAGGAGAGTAATAAATAGGTAGAACACAGGGTGTTTGCAGTGAACTAATCTGTCTGATACTGTAATGATTAGCACATGAAATTATACATTTGTCAAAATCCATAGAACTTCATAACACAAAAGGTGAAGTCTAATATAAACTATGACTTTAGTTAATAATAATGTATTAGTATCTGTTCATTATTTATAATAAATGTGCCACACTAATGCAAGATATTACTAAGGGAAACTACGGAGGGGTTGGGGGCTGGCAAGGGTTTCTATATAAAAATGCTACTTTCTGAGCTATTTTTCTATAATCAAAACTTACTCTAAAATGTAAAGTATATTAATTTGAAAAGATTAATTCCTGATACAGAGTTCAGAAATAAACTCTTTTTAATATGTTTCTGTTTTATTATTTGGTACTTATTTTGCCTTTAAATAAATACCTATATTTGATATTGTTCCTCTCTTCTCTTTTTGTTTTTTTCCTGTTAGGTGTCCTAATCTTGTCTTGGTACCCACCTGATTCAAATGATGAAAACGGAGACCCTACTGATTACCTGGTACCAACTATTTTGGATAAAGCTCATAAATACAATCTGAAGGTACTTAATATATGTTCAAGCTATAATGCGTTAAATCTCTTGAATAAGAAAATAGTAATACTTTTTGAAGTGATCATGGTCATTAAAAACTTAATTAGTATGAAAATAATGACTTGGAATATTTTTAAATATTGCTACTTTATGAAGACATTTTCTGTAGTTTCAATTTCAAACTTTGCCCATGTTGTAATATATTAGAGATCCTGTTTTCTATGTTTTAGTTTGGTCTATTTATTGCTTATTTTAGCAGGAAGATGGAGGCTTGGAAGGTTCTTTTATGAAGACTTAGCTATCAGATTATCTACTAAAATGTGCTGTTAACCACGTCTTTACATCTTTATGAAACAGTTAGAAAACAAACTGCTGTCCAAATATATTTCAAATGTGTAATTTTCATTGGAACTTTAGCATGCAGACATACACATCACTTTACATTTATAATGCAGATGAAAATCTAAAGACAGCTGTATGATTAAATGTATTCCTCCCATGTATTAAGGTGAGTCAAAAATAAGGAAAATTTCTTCCATTATAAGACTGTTTTTTGAGGAATTTGAAAACAAATATTAATGACTGTTAAAGAGATTTAATTAGCACTATGGAAGAAAATTTTACATGAAATAAAGTAAGCTTTGCTTTTAAAATTCAAAGAACCTCTTTAAAAATGGGTTATGCATAGATAACAATGTTAATCTAAATAAATTCACAAAATTATAGTTATAGTCTGTATCCAGAGCACATTCACTCTAATTGAAAGTTAATAATTAAACTATTTAGAAGATATAAAATTGTTTAAATTTTGAAATATACCATTTCAATGTAAAATAACACTTGCTTTAAAGAAAAAACTCATTTAGAAGATGTACAAAAACAAATAGCACTGACATTAAATTACTAGTAACAATGAGATATGAGTAATAAACTAGAAGAAAGAACTAATCAAACAAGGTATGATGGCAATGTGTATAATCCAAGTAAATGGAGGCAGGAGGATTGCAAGTTTGAGACCAGCCTGATCAATGTAGCAAGGCTCCAACTCAAAATAAAAGCAGAGGTTTAATTAAATAGAACACAACACCTACAAACTCAGTAGACTTAAGAGTCTGGCACAGGTAAGCATTGTATGAATGTTAAGTAAATAAAACTTTACTTACTATTTAAAGAAAATAAAATATGATATGATTATGGGTATTGTAAAATTGAGGAAAAATCAGTACTGATAAAACTCTTATTAAACAAGGTTCTCTTTTTGGTGCTAATTGGTTTGACTTCTTTGTGCTTCCAGGCAGATGCTTTGCTGCTTGAGCCACATCTCCAGCCCTTTTTGCTCTGGTTATTTTGGAAGTAGGGACTCACTTTTGGCCCAAACCAACCTGGATCCCAATTCTCCTATTTTAGTCTTCTTGCCATTGCTGGATGACAAGCACATGCCATCACATCCAGTTTTTGTTTTTTTTTTTTTCCCATTGAGATGGGAATTCACAAACATTTTTGCGCAGGCTTTCCTGAAACTGTGATCCTCTAGATCTCAATGCTTGTGTAGCTGAGATGATGTATGCCACTGTATCTAGCTACTAATCTCACATACTTTTTTCCTGGACTGGCCTTGAACCAAGATCCTCTAGATCTTAGCCTCCCAAGTAAGTAGGAATAAAAAAGGTCCTTTAACATAAGGATATATTTTATAACTTATATCACTGCAAAAAACAACAATATCATATTCTTTTAACCAAGATAAATACAAGAATGCCCATATTACTTAGCATTGTTATAGAAACGCAAACAAAAGCAGTTTAAACAAAAATACAAAAATTAAAAATTCTATATAAAATGATTACTTTTTGCAACTGACAAATACCTGCAAAAGTCATTTAAGCAATCTAAAACCTGTTAGAAATAATGAGTGCAGTAAGATAGCTAGAACCAAAAAGTACTCAATTCAGTAGAATTCCTAAATTACAGAAAAAAATTAGAAAAGGTTCATGGAAAATAACATCAATAGATACTGATGAAAGATCTACGTAAGTAGAGAAGCATGGATTTGGTGAGAAGATTCAGAATTATAGAAATGACCGTTTGATCAAAGTACATTATATGCATATGTGTAAATATGAACTCCCATGGTACAATTAATTTACACTAATGAGAAGCTGTATTTCTTTTGTCTAACATAATTTTAACATAATCCTCATTTAAAATTTCAATGACAGTTTAAATACATAATTCAGTAGGTAAATCACAAGGTTTACAAATAGGTTGGAATGAAGTAAGACTTTTAAAAATGCTTATTGATGCAGAAAAAAACTTGACTTTCCAGATAACAAAATGTGTTATAAAATGGCAGAAATTTAAAATAAAGTATGGCATTAGCTTCATTTATGGAGAAAGAAATCAATGAGGCATAATGTAGAGTCTGGAATCTTCGTGTGGAAATCTAATATGAAATTCAGGAATCACTCAGAATCAAGTGTAAAAGGACTGCTTATTCATGACAGTGTCCTCACTACTCTTCTTATTCTTGCATTTCGCACTCTGGTCTATGTCCTTGGGATCATATTTCATGTTTGATAACTTACTCACTTTCAGAGTGATCATTTTTTGAAGCTTTTTATTATTATTATTATCATCATTATTACTTTTTTGTTTTTTGAGACAGAGTGTCTCTTTGTAGCCTAGGTTGACCTGGAACTCCCTGTATAGCCCACGTCAGCCTTGATCTCTTGCTTCTCCTACCTCAGCCTCCTGAGTGCTGGGATTAGAGATATGCATCACCATGCCTGGCTTAAAGTTTATTTTTGCTTAATGCAATGTCTTTGTGAATTTTCATAAAAATATGAAATAGTGTCTTTTAACTGGGAGCATTTACTCTGAGCTCTCATATTGCTACACTCTTAAAAATTGCTGAGGCTTTTCATTTGCTCTATAACTTCTTACAGTTCATATATCATAATGGGAGATGGTATGGTTGAGCTCTTCAAGAGGTGATGTGAAGTTTGGGGTTGTAGCTCATGGCAGAGTACTCACCACAGATGCACAAGGCCCTGGGTTTGATCCCTAGCACATGAGGGAGGAAGAACGACAGGAAGAGGGGAAGAGAGAGAAAGAGAGAGAGAGATTGCTTGAGATTTGGCAATTGAAACTTGCGAATAGGCAAGTTTCCAGATTCTGGCATCAGGACTGAGTGGATATGTGATTGATTTAGTTTATAAAAAACAGATCCAAAGATCACTTGGCTGATCCAGCCCTATGGTAATCCTGTGAGTTTGAAGCAAAAGAAGCTGGTTATTTCAGTACTTTCAAGAGCTTTTTAAAGGTAAAGTGAAAATGTTCTGCTGTATAAAATAGGGCTTTTTATCCCATTGAAATCTTCTGTATGGAATGATTATGTGAGAGCTCAACCATTAATTATCTGTGTTAATGCTGCCAACATACTTGATTTCTCTATACTTCAGATTTTATATCTAAGGATCAGAAAATTCAGAACTTGATAAATTAATGCTTACCAAAATTTTTTGAACAATATCTTGGCATTCTTGGCCTTGTCTTTTATGAAGAAGTCTATATAATACAAAAAAAAAAATACACCTTCATTAGCTTTTTTTTTTTTTTCAGTTTTTATCAGTGGAAAAACAGGCTATATATCTTTATAAAGCAGAGAGGTTTATTTGGGTCACAATTCTGCAGGTTCCAAGGCGTGGTACTGGCTTCTACTAGGGCTCTGGTGAAGGCCTCATGCAGATGGCATCTTGGTAACAGGAGTCTGTGTAGAAGAGGGACCACATTGCCAGGCAATAATGCAGAGAGAAGTGGAGGCAACAAACTTGCTTCTTTTATAATAACCCTCTCAATCAGGATAATACTCAATAAGACCTGATGACCTCACACTAGGCCCCACTTCTTAAAGGCTCCATTACCTCTCACATTGCCACACTGAGAACCAAGCTTCCAACCTATGAAGTTTTGGGGATCAAATAACATCCACACAGTAGCAGGCCCAGAACTATGAGACTAGAGTTGTTTCCAGGTGAGTAGCTCTGGGATTTTATGTTAATTCTTTATCTACTTGGCTTGTCCCTTTCATTTGTAAAGGGACAATCAAACAAGCAGATGGTTTTATTCTGCGAATTCTGTTGTTTTATTGTTGTAAACGTGATGTAATTTTTTAAATTAAACAAAATGAAAAATCTGTTCTTATGAAAAATGGAAAACTTTCCTTTTGTTTGCTAATCTAAGAAAAGTTGTAGTATGTTTAATTTATGATAACATCTTGCTGGAATTGTTTAAAGTACTAAGGCAATAAGATCAGATTAAGGATGTTATGACTTTTGTGCTAATGAAGGGGCTTACCTAACTGACCACCTCTAAAATCTGTGAAATAGGTTTGTTAGTAGCATCTTTTTCTTTCTAATCTTCAAAGCAAGGAAATAATCTGCTCCCTTTCCCCCAGTTTGAATACTGGTGTGCTTATTCACTCAACATTTAAATAGCCCTTCTATTTATCACTTTTTGTTTCTAAAATATTCTCATGGTTGTACAGTATTGATTTATTTTATCTATTTCTTTCTACTTTTTGAGGAGAAAAAGTTTTACGTTACTTGCATTCTTTTAGTGTGTGTGTAGATATCATTTTTAGGGCTTGGATTTGTTTTTTGGTTAAGCTTTTGTTACAGCTCATTAGTTATAATTACATAATGTTTTAAATTGCAGTAGTCAATAAATACTATCTAATTGCAGTTTTGATTTATTAACTTGAACCAGGAGTCATTTTAGGCTAGTGCCATTTAAACTATAAACAGGCAATGGTAACAAAAATATTTAAAGTGTAGGTACTTTTTTCCATTATTTTCAGCAAATATAGACTGTTTATTTTTTGCATTCATTATTTATTTGCATACACATTACTGATATATCTGCTTTTCATGCTTATGGAAATTTTTGGTCATGTGAAATTTGAATATAATATGTTTGGGATTCTTTTTTAAGTGATTTCTTCAGCTCTC